GTGGCAGCAAAACCCTTGAAGTGAGTTTGTCGCCACGCAGGAAGGTAGATATTTTTGCGGCTAGCATGCTAATCCATGCACGCAGGGAGAAGTAACCTTTTTATACATGAATAACAATGGACTCTGGGAAAGCAAGCTTTCAAAAATTGAACTTTTGGAGTTAGGTCAGAGGAAAAGTGAAATTAAATCCCAATTGAAGTTTGTGGTTAAAAATGATCCTTAAACACCGTTGATGGCGTTAACATCCATCGTTATGTCAGTAAACGGCGCCCTGGTTAATTTGACGGGCCTGATGGCGGTCACATTTAGCTAGTATAAACTAGGGCTGAAATTCGACTCTTATTTTTCGATTAAGCGATGAATAACCAGATAGCCAAAGGTTCCTTAAAGAAGACTTTTCCACTAGACGAGTATTGAAAGACAAAAAACAGACAAAAAAATTATTTTTTTAAAATCTTAAATGCAAAATATTTTCACACATATGCATTTTATCATATGTACACATACAATGTTGATATAATTCCTGCTCTAAGTGGGTTTTTCTGTCAGCTAAAGGCATGTTTTAAAGTCTCCATACTCTAGTAATGAGTATCCGATTACTAAATTATCCATCCATCCATTTTCCGTCACGTTTATCCCAAGCAGGCTCGTTAGGAGTGCTGGTGCTTATCTCCAGCTGTTCACAGGTGAGAGGCGGGGAGATTACTTAATCAGTTGACCATTATAACAATAATTGATTAATCAAGATTAATCCGATTAATTGTTTCTGCCCCAGTATGAACGACTGTGTGAAAAAAGAAATAAAATCTGTAAAGAATGGAGACCAGCTGAGGGAACGTAGAAGTTTGCCAGAAGCCAAACCTCACATCCTCCTGAAACCGCTGGTTATGGAGAAGCGTAAACACAGCCAGACTGGTTATTACACCTGGTTCCACAAAGACTGGGAGCAAGAAAACCTGAGACCTAAATAAATGTCATTTAATCCACTTCTAGAAAAAGAAAAAAGGGACATTTTCTAGACATTTCATGACTCTGATGCTGAATATACAGCAGATCTTCCAAAGTACACAGGAGTCCATGAAAGACGGAGTGAGAATCTGCAATAAAACCCAAATAATAATGTTCTAGCCGTCAGACCAGCACACCCATAGTCAGTACGCATGCACAACACGTCAGATTTGCATTTATCTTTTTAGTTTTGGACGAAAAATAGACTTTAAACTACCTCGACGGGCATGTATCCCTTTAGTTATGTACAAAAAAAACAACATTTTAAGGTCAGATCGCCATACGCTTTACAAAAAAACACCCAAAACTAAGTAATTAATTGTTTTTTTGTACATGACTAAAGTGATACACGCCTGTTGCCGTAGTTTAAAGTCTATTTTTCATACAAAACTAAAGGGATAAATGGGTAACTATGGGTATACTGGTCTGACCGGGTATGCTGATCTGACAGAACGCCGGCCTTACAGCCATAAAACGGCACTGATCTCAGATCATCATACATCCAATATTCTAATCTGCGTTTTCAGGTCTCCACCTAAACTCCAAGATGTTTAAAAGTTGAATCCAGAACCACTGATGGCTTCATCAGAACCTTTTACAGCGCCTTCTTGTGTTTGTTTGCATCCGGATCGCTTCCTGCGGCCGGGCAGGAAAACAAACTCCACTGAAACCCAGTTCTGTAACATGAAGCTGGGTTGTGGGTTTGGGCTGAAACTCAGAACAAACCAGCTTTATCAAGAAGAGCCCAACTTTCTCACACACACAGGTGTGATGACATAACTGCGGCGGCACAATGGCTGTTATCTGAGACACAGGCTGCGGCGGCTGAATGGATCTCTCTGAGCTTTTAAGGAACAAAAACACTAATCTTGCACCATGACCTGCATTTCTGCACAGCTTCCCACCGACACACGCGAGGAGCCGCCCGACAGCTGCACGGCGCCCCCTGCTGCTAGGAAAGCTTCACTCGGAGAGGACGATGTTGTGAAACATGAGCAGAATAAATACAGCTTGACTTTTTATATCTGTTCATCTTTTTCTTCACCTCAGAAAAACATCACATCTCCAATAAATGAAGAATCCAAAACAAGCGGATTTCTGTTCCAACAACCATCTGCAGTAAATGTTGTTTTCTGTTACATTAAAGCTCAGAGAGCAAAACTTCAGACACACGCTGACACCTGCTGGCGATAAGGAAGAACTGCATGAAGGGAAGAACCGACTCACCCACAGCTCTGAAGAGACACGCCCCGTCCTCCTTCATCTTTTTGATGACGAAGCCTTTCTTCTCCCTCAAAGCTTTCTCAAACCAGTGTTCCTGCTGGAAGACACAGAGCTGTCAAAGGGGGCGGAGCCAATAAACTCGCCATCAACAACACGCTGGTGTCAGGAGGAGGACTGGCTTTACAAGCACAGCGCACTGGTTGAATGTGGGATTAAAGACAGTTAAAAACAGTTAAAATCCAGTCATCGAATGTTTAAAGAGCTGCCAGGTTCTCCATGTTCCTCCTGTTAGAACCTCACAGACGTTCTCCTGGAGTTCCTCATTTTTTTTTTTTATACATTAAAGTTAACGGACTCAAACCTGCTGCATCTGCATTCAATTAAAAGCATCTTTAATGGGAAGGGAAATAAGATGTTGGAGCTCTGGTTTCTTTTTATTTATTTATTTTATTAGCTTTAAGAACGGAGCAAACATTAACAAAACTGAAGCAGGCAAAAGGGAATAAGGTGAGAAAAAAAATAAAGACATTTCACTTATTACAGTTTTTCCAGGTTACAGATCTTTTATTTTATTTATTTTTTTATTCCATATAAAGCACTTTGCATCGTCTTTGTACTGAATTTTGCTATACAAATAAATTTGCCTTGCCTTTAAAAGCCATGAGCAAAATTATTTTTAAAAAAGTGCGCTTATATTCAGGATCCTTGAAAAAAATAAATAACTACATTTAAGAATAAAACTTTAAAGCTGAACAAAGAGCAATCTGTAAAAATACTGCTTAATCTTTTGCATACGGTTAATAAATGACTCACAAAACATTTCAGGCTGACATTTTTTTCATATTTAGATTTTTTAAAGGCGTCTTTGTTTTTCCTTTCAGTGTCACAGGTTTGGATTAGAAACCAAAACGTCCTTAAAATGGTCTGATGATGCTCAGAGTTAAGCTTCATTTTATGAATTTTTTGATAAATCTTCTGCAGATGTTCTAGATGAGTTCCTAGAATAGAGTCAGCGTTCTTTATCAGCTTGTTGAGCTTCTTTCAGTCTTTTACTTTGATGCTGTTACCCCAGCAGATGATGGAGGGAGTGATCAGACTGATAGAAGATCTGCAGCATCTGAAGGACCTAAGATTCCTCTACAACAGGGGTCTCCAACCCTGGTCTTCAAGATCTACTGAATCTAACGAATGGTTTGCTACCACGCCGTTGTTAAAGATGATGGCGTGCTGAAGAGGTAATTCTGTCATTTGAAGCAGCTGTGTCGGAGCAGGGATGCATGGATCACAATATGAGCCTTTTCCATCCGTCAATAGATATTTATTAGTGTTTTCTTACTCATGTGAAATAAAGACCCAGGGGAATAAACTAAGCATTTGAATTTCAACTCAAGATGTCAGATAAGGATTAAGGAATAATTTTAAAGCTGACTGATCTTAATTGATAGGCTGAATTTTTTTTTAAAACCTCAGTTTTCTCTAATATCAAGAGGATCTATAAATATGCTCATAATTCTGTCTATAGTAATAACCATCTGTACAATATTCCTAGTACATATTCACCTGCAAACTCTGTTATAATAACAACCATCTGTATATTATGCTATTGTACA